CTTCCTTTCCAATCAATACCTAAGACCCTTGCACATATTCTAACAGCATGGCATCCTAGGAGATGCCTGTGCAATACAGACTGAGCAAGGGTGAAAAGATGTTCCCATTGCTGCACAAATTTTGATGTTTAGATGCAGTGTCAGTTACCTGAAGGTGCCTGAAGGAATGGATCCAACACTGAAAGGACACACAGAAAACCTTGCCAGTATTACACAGTATAATGTGAAAATTCCCATATTATATGGGAAAATCTCCTGACTAGTACGGAAGGCTTAAGAAAAATGTCTTTTTCAATTTTTTGGTTGTAATTGGCCATTTTTCCAGATGCCTGGTATCCTATCAAAGAAAAAAAAAAAGGAGATAAAATAGAAGGAAGTAACTTAACAGCAATTAAAAGAGTATTTTTGAAATGTGTTGTCCATATGCGCTTCAGCTCAGAAAATTTTCTGATGCACTACCTACAGCATGCAGATGTGCTCCCCTTCCCCTTTCCCTGTCGTGGCCCACACAAGGCCACACAAAGCATCCTTTGGTCTCTTCTCAGCCACCCAATCCCACTGGCTACACAAAGCCTGAGGGCAGGAGGGAGAAGCCATGCACTTGGGCCAATGCATCTTGAAGAGTTCCAACTACGAGTAACTTTTCTTTTTCCCTGGAGTTTTCCTTCGCTGCACATATGCACAGCGGGAAGCTGTAAGCAATGTTTATGCCACCACAGGTTGTCCAAAGCTGGTCTGTGTGAGTTTGAGATGAGAGGCAGTTGAGGACCTCACTGCAGGTGAGGATGCCCCACATTAGCCCACCAAACTCATGCTGTAGCACCAGCAGGGAGCTTCCAAAATGGGCTTTGGGTTCATGCACTGAGGCAGCATCTGCAGTGCCCCTTCCTGAAACAACACCAGGATTCCACACTACACACAGCACTTCAACACCAACCTCCAGGGCAGCATGCAAGTCAAGTTTTAACAAATTCAGCTTCAGAAGAGGTTTTGTACTGGCAACTGCCTGTGCCTTTGCTCCAAAGAGGAGCTGCTCAAGCCTGTTTTCCTGGAGACCAATGTTTCTTATTGTTCCATTCCTCAGACCCAACTGGTCCTTGGCACATGGGAGGCAGTTGAAAGGGCAGGCCAAACAGCTTGCTTGTTAGGCAATCCAACAGCAAAAGCAGCATGAGATCTTACATCTTGGTACCTGCCCTGGAATCAGACATGTACCTATGGCAGGACAGAAACACATCTCCGGATAACAAAGCACAACACTGAGAAGAGCTGGTGAAGAAAAACAAACTCAGCAGGGCACATTTAAAGAAGAGAAAAGTCTCTCATGCTAAAAATGTTACACCTCTTGATCATCATGTGTTACAAAGTCTCCGGCACAGCCCCACCTCCTGGTACCACTGAGCTTGACGTACATTAAACAGGATTTCTGTTTCTATCAGACCTCAGGCTGGCCGATGCTGTATCCAAATAGGGTGGACTCCAGAAAAGACCATCCAAAGCAGGGGCTGGATGGGATGGCAGCTACCTGGTATATGATATAGATGGGGTATTAATATAACAGGTTAGATGACTCTCTAATACTTAGCAAAGTTCAGAAGGTACATATAGCCATGCTACTATCAACAGGGACTGCGTACCCTATGGCTCATCAAGACCATTTATCACAGGCAACCACTTTTACAAGTTGTTCTGACAGGTACGAACAAATCTGCCACCAGGTGATGAAATTGCTGTGCCAGTTTTATGTTCAGTGCCGAAACAAGTTGCCACATGCACCCTCTTCCTGGGCATCACAGGCAGCCACCATAGAGCATGCACTACTTTGTTACCTTTACTGACCAAACATGATTGGTCTAGACTCAGGTGAGGCTACTCAGACTTCCAAAAGAAAGAGGTACACACCTGGTAATACACGATATTTCCAGATCTGTGCTTACAGGAAAAAAAATAATTACTCTGAAACCTAAAGGAAGCACCTTTTCTCAGGAAAATGAGGTACAGTTCAGATACAAACCAAAAGCAATTTCTATAACCCTCAGAGAGTACCCATGCTCTCCATGGAAGAAAGAACTGGAAAAAGATGGGTTGGCGAACCCAAAGGCAGGCCTAGGCAAAAGCAGTTTTCAGAAGGTGGAGGTATGCATGGTTGTAACTCTTTGAAAGGGAAACAAATACAATTTTAACCAAAGGGGTGAAGAGTAAAGTGAATCTCTGTGGAGATCTGATAGTCAGGAAGACAGAGCACCACAGAGACAGAAAATACCATCAAAGGCAGCACTGAGGAGTAGCTGGTCTGAAGAGCAACAGGGTGGCAGAGAGGGATTTACAGGATGAAGATCCCTGCACAGAGATTCATTTGAACTCCAGCAAACATGGTCACAGGATCCATGAAGGATGATGCAAAGCAGTCCTGTTGCTGCTGCCCATCTGAATGCCTGATGGCCACACTAGTGTGGCCTGTGAGCACACAGCAGGATGCAACTGCCTGTGGTGTGAACACCACTCACAGTTGCTCATTCGCAACTGCAGTTCTCTGAGCAGTCTTGTGCATGTGCCTTTTACCTCTCAGTCCTACGGCCAATCAGTTGCTGCAGCTTAGAGGACGATAAGATGTGCCCTTCTCTCCCCACTTGTGCACAGGCCACGTGGGAACACCTATGGAAGCTGCAAAGAAAGCCCGGGCACTGGGGTCACAGGCCTAGAGTCTGTGTGCACCCATGGGGAGAACAGATGAAAAGACAAACATTCAAAGCATGAAGCAAACAAACTATCACTTGTCATGTCACTAAAAATCACTAGGGTCATGCATAAGACTTAGAAATTCACTTCTTTCTCTTTTAAATATTTTCTGACTTTTTTAACTAATGAAGCCTCCCAATTTCTTCCTCACTCCCATGCCGCCATAAGAAATTTCAGAAAATAGGTACTGGACATATAAAAGCCCACAGACATGGAAAATACCCCCAACCACCTCAGACAACTTGGGGAGAGGGAAGGGTACCTAGCAGGATGCTTGTTGGCTTCCCCCATGCCCAGGTGCTGCTTGCCATATTTTTTGAGGCTGTAAGTTCTTTGCAGCAAGAGCAAAGCGTATGCCCTGATCCCAAGCAGGTCCTGGGTGAGCCACAGAGGAGGGAACAAAAACGAGACCAGTGCTCCAAATGGAGAAGATGGCTGCTCAGATGCAGTACAGCAGGGCAAAGAGCTGTGGTGGCATCAGGATTTCATTTTGGAGAACTGGATCTCTCTAGTGAAGCACTTACTGAAGCCCCAGCACAAAAGGATGTGAGCTACTAGCAACTCTAGCCCTAGAGTTTGCACACAGTTCTTAAGAACAAATACAAAAGCTTTGCTTCCAGGCAGGAAATCCCTTTTACCACACCTTTCTGATTTACATCGATGCTTGATACACACCACATGTGTCCCCTCCTTCCTTCACCCACATGCACAATGGTCCTGTTCCATATTTAAGTGATGAAAAGTTAAGACCTGTGGTTACAACTTCTATGAAAAGCTTCATTTTGAAGGCTGCTACATTTCAATTTTATTGCCATGAGAAAAACTGAAAAAAGGCAAAATATTTCAGTTCTTCCTTAACATGAAAGCTGTTGTGAAGACATTTAATAAGTGTCAGTTCTCTCCTGCAAGTTGCTGAAATCTTGAAGGTGGGAAAATTTATTCTTACAAATGTTTTGTGTGAGTCCTATCCACAATTTTATTCATGACACTTAATTTCTTCTGTTCAAGGTGGCTGTGGCAGGCTCCTGAAGTGCACCTCAGCAGGCAGAGCTTACAACAAACCCTTCAACCAAAAGAAAAACAAGGAATAACATCGAGATTTCTTCAGCTAGGAGACCAAGTGAAAGATGGAGTACAAAAACTCACCCACCTGCCTGCGTGTGGGAATAGAGAGACATTCATCTCAGATGTTATGTGGGGAAACAGCAGGAGCAAGAGACATCAGAAAACTGGCAAATGCATCTGTTTTTTCCATTCAGCACTGCACTGCTGACTAGATCTCTGCAAAATTTCCTCTATTGTACAGACCTGCCCAGTGGGATCTGTCTGGCATTAATTGGCCTTCAAAATTACTTATGGAAATATCTTCAGCTAATTTTTGTAAGTCGTTGAGTAAGAAAAAAAGTTAGGTATTCTTCGGTTTTGGTTTGTTGCTTTTTGGTTTTTTGTTTGGTTTTTTTTGTTTTAAGAAAGCAAGAGAGAAAAATCAATGGATTCTTGCATGTGGACATGGTATTCTGCTTCTTAAAAGAAATGCCTTAGGACCTTAGGACGGAGACGTGGCCCTAACTTTTCTATGCATTTTCTTTGTGGGAATTAAGGGCCGTGAAAGGTGAAAGCCTTTTGTGTACTGCAAACGGGTGGGGAAGAGGGCAGACGGTGAGGAGGGGAGGGGAGCAGCAGAGAGCCGAGGCCAGGCGGTGACTTTCGAAAGACCATGGATGGCAGAGAGGTCCGTAGCGGGACCAGCCCCAGCTGGGCACCAGGTCGTGGGGACCGATCGCCACCAAGCCCGGCGGGGAGCCCAGAGGCTGCGGCGGGCACAGAAACGCGAGCAAACGCGAGGTCCGTGGGGAAAGGCAAAGGCTCCCGAGAGCCGCGGGAGGAGCGCGGGACGGGGCGTGCACAGGCAAACTGGGGCTCCGATGCCCGGTCCCAGCCAGGAGCCGCGGAAAAGTCTCCTCTAGGGCAGGGGGGATATGAAAAGTCCCGCTCCCCCGTGCCGGTCTTTTGTTCCCGGAGGCTGGCACCCGCCGGATCCACCGGCAATGGGCTGCCGAGCTCCGCCGAGCTCCCCGGTTCCCCTCGCTCGGGAAAGAAAGGGTACGGGAATTTTGCCCTGCCCGGTATCCGGCGCAGCGTGCCCGGACGAGACACAGCCTCGCCGGGCGAGGGGAGAGCAGGGCAGGCGGAGCAGGACCGCCCGGCTCCCGCAGCCCCCCGCTGCCGCGCCCGCCCCCCGTTCCGGCCCCGGGGCTCACCGTCCTCGTAGTTCTTGAGGTAGTAGTCGGGGCCGGGCCCGCCGCGGCTCTTGGCCGGGTTTTTCACGTTGTGGAACTGGAGAAAGTCCGTCCTCTTGCCCGCGAAGCGCAGGAAGGCGGGGGCCAGGCCCCGCGCCAGGGTCACCAGCCGCCGGGAACTGGGGAGAGGAGAGAGAGAACTGAGGGCGCCGAGGGCCGGGATGGGCCCTCGCTTCCCCAGTACCGTCAACGACCACCGACCACGGGGCTCGAGGACCCGCCCGGGGCGGTGCGACGCGGTACCACCGGCTGCGGGGCTCCGCGCCGGCCGAGCAGCGCGGCCCCGGAGAGAGGAGCCGCCCCACCCGCCGGTGGTGGCCCGGAGGCCGGCGGGCCCGGCTTACCCCCGCCCTGCCGGCGCCCCCCGGACAAGTGCAACGGCGTCCCGGAGGCAGAGGCGCTCAGTGCCACGCGGGACCGTGCCGCGGGCCGAATCGCCGAGGAGGGGAGAGGAGCGGGGAGGAGAGAAAAGCGGGAACCGTCCCGGCTCCGCTTCGCTCGCGCCTTCCCGCATCCTCGCCCCGCTCCTTCCCCGGCAGCCGAAAGGACCCTCGAGGCGGGCGTGCGGAAGACACCCACTCTCCCTCCTCGACTTACCCAGCAGGGAAAGGGCTTTCTGGCTGTCCCAGCGCCTCCAGGCCGCGGCCGCTCCGCACCGCCGGTGGAGCCAAGCGCAGCTGCAGCCCGGCTCAGCCCCCCGCGCAGGGCTGGAATTCCGGGGAGCGAAGGGCTCAGAAAACCTAGCCGACACCGGCTCTCCGCCCGTCAGGACCCGGGGAAGGCTCGGCTGGGTTCGGCAGGCGGCCCCGTTCCTGCTGCTGTTTTTTGTTTGGTTTTGACTTCTTTTCCCCTGTGCTGCCTCGGCGCCGTGTTGTGCTTTTTGCAGAGGAGCGGTTGCCGGAGCCAGGGGAGCACGACATTTTTGCAGTCATAACTGATAAGTCTCCGAAATGCTTTCTCCATTGCAAACATGTGCATCTTAATGGAAACCATGGCCTCGCTCCCTCCGTCACAACAAGCGCCAGCAGCGCGGAGCCCGGCAGGGCTGGGCGGCGGGGCCGCCAGGGCGCCCCGCGGGCGGCGTGGGGAGGGCGCCGGGGGGCTCCTGCCTTACCTTAAGAAATCGAGCCAGCCATCATGAATGATGGAGGGGTCCAGCTGCAGGGAGAGGAAATTCTCACTGATTATCCTGACAGGGCTCTTGGTGTTGACATCAAGGAGAATGAGAGTTCTTCCTTTCACACCTGAAGGTTTCTCCACCGGCAGTGCTCTCCTGTCCCCAGCCTGGGAGGGCAGCGAGAAGGCGGCCATGAGGGCCAGCCCAGGTGCCATCAGGGCTAAGAGCCCTGGGGGGCAGGAGCTGGGACAGGGCATGCCTGAGAGCAGGAAACCCCTAATTAACTCGCTGTCTGCAGGGGCTCGCTGGTGGCTAATTGTCCTTATCTAAAGTGTGGGGCGCTCTGCCTTTTTTTGCAATGTTTTGGTGTTGGTGGAGGGGAACTCACGCCCCTGACCAGCCTTTCTCGCAGCCGGTGCCAAGACTCCTTGCAGCCAGCACCGCCCCTTTAAGAGATGCAGGCTCCAGACATTTTTAACTTTTTGAAGGTAAGGGGAGGCTCCTGGTTTAACCCCCTCGGCTCGGGGTCTGCCGCCCTGCTGCAGCCCCGCCAACACCGAGCTTTCGCTTTGCGCCGGCTCCGGGGGTCGCTTTCGGCCGCGGGAGCTCCCGCACCACGCAAAACCGGGACGAAGTCGGGACACCGAGACACCGGGGAGCTCAGGACTGGGGCCGGAGCGAGGCGAGCGGCCAGCACAGCTCTAGCTGGTCTCCGGCTGCAGGAACGGCAGAGGCGGTAAGGCAGCGGGGACGGCCCTGATTGAGGAAAGGGAGGGTAATCACCCCGAAAAGAATCCTAAACACGACCCGAGGGAAGAGGGAAGAGTTCGCTCCGAGCCGCGCTGGGATCCGCGGTGCTGGGCGAGGCCCTCGGGGTTGAGCGCTGGCGGCTCCGCGGGACCCAGCGGGCGCAGCGGGGCTGGGGCCGCCCGCAGTCCGGAGCCCCGGCGCGGCACGGTCGGTGCGCCCTGTCCGAACCCAGCGTCTCGGCCGGTCTTCCCACGAAGGCCGGTCGGGCACTGCAGAGAACCAGGCACGGGGAATCGAGCCGCTGGTTGCCCTTTCCCGCCGGCCTCCGGGCCCAGCGGTGTCCGACCCGCAGCAGGGAAAGGAGACGGGCGGCGGCAGCAGCAGCGCCTGGTGTGGAAACGCCCGCGTCGGGGATGCAAAGGACAGCATGGCTCGATGGCACCAACGACGGCCCCCGTGCTGGGGCCAGTCCGTGGTCGCTGCCTCCAGGACGGCCCGGGGCAGGTCGGCACGGACTCAGCTCGCTGCAGGCGGCCGCGGTTCTCAGCGCTGGGCACAAGGTCGTGGCACCGGGCCAGGGATCAGTGGCGGCTGCCGAGAATCCCCAGAGCCTCAGGGAATTTCCGTCCGAATCGGGCATTCTCTCCACCACTAGCCGCTTCCCGGGCAAGCCCCGAGCTCCCGCACGCAAGCAGCTAGCTGGTGAGCTCCGGGACACGTAACGCGCCCTTACCTGAGCCCTCCGCCGCCGTGGCCCGCCCAGGTTCCCGCGTTGCCGAGGCCATGCGGCACGCAGGGTCCCGGTGCCTCTGCCTGGCCGGGCGGCGGAGGGCTGACGGCAGTTCGACTGAGCCAGGCCCGGTGCGGTCCGTCGGGGCCCCGGAGCCCCGGGGATGGGGCTCCAGCAGCACCATCTGCTGGTGAGGGGCCCGGCGCGGCGGGGGAGCCGACACCCACCTGTGGACACCCCTCGCGCAGGGGTCAGGAGGTGCCGGGGCCGCGAGCAGTAGCGGTGCTCCGGGATCGAGGCACAGGTCGCGCCCGCAAGAGTGAGCCGAGCGTCGGGGACCCGCCGACCGCCCTCGGGGGGCCTGGCCGGGGTCGGGTACGAGCGGCGAGCGCTGCGGGCCGACAGCCCCGGGCAGCCCGGACCAGGGGTATTCGTTCCCAGGGCACGGGCAGCCCGCTGTCCCCGCCCCTGGGAACCCCCTCCAGCTTCTCCTGGTGTCCGCGTGGAGCCACCTGCATGCCCCCATCACCCCAGCCAGGGCCCGGGAGGCGGAAGGAGCGGACCGGTGTCTCCAACTGCTGCATGTCCCGGGGCTCGGCGGAGCTCCGCACAAAGGGGAGGCACTCGGGCCTGGGTCCCTGGGAAGTCCGCGGGCAGCGCTGTCTCCCGTGGAAATGTCCACTCCCTTTGTCTCTCTGTCCCACGAAACGCTTCAAGACAAGGGGAGCAGTCCCGGGTCACTCAGGCAGGGGCTGCAGGGGCACGGAGCCACTATGCACTGAGTAGTAATGCGTGGGGGAGGATGAAACATACCTCTGGCTCTGCTAGGGGTGAGCAGGGAATGCACAAACTAGGATTTGTCGTGAAACCATCCCGCTAAGGTAGAGGCTGGAGCAGGGGTTAAGCCGCGCCTGGGAAGAGGCTGCGAGTGCAGCGCAGGCTGACCCAGAGCAACAAAAGGGTGCCCGGGGCAGCGGAGCTCTGAGCGCGGGAAGAAGTAAGAGGATTCCGGGAAAAGAGCTGTGCGATTTTAGCTGTGGAAAGCCCTGGCATCCCGGGACAGGAAGAAGGCAATTTAAGCCTGAAAATTTGTGTTCGGCTGCAAACACTTCAGCTGGGGTTTGCAATAGCACTTAAAAACGACCCAGGACGTAAAGCCTCCGCTTCAGAAGCTGCTCATTTTTTTCGGTCATCTCCTAAAGAGGGACGTAAGTTTTTGAAACATCTCGTTATTTTTTTAATATATTTTCTATATGTTTAGAAGATGTGAGCAAGGCTTCAGGGGTATTTGTTGTGGTTGCAGGCCGAAATTTTGTATCATGCCTCCCGCCGAGAATGGCCCGATTTTTAAACAAAACTCCAGTGCGTTCTGTAGTAAAAGACAGGGGAAAAAAAAAAAAAAAAAGTTATCCAGTTTAACCTCCTTCATATATTTTTTTTTTCCTTACAAACAAACTACTTTGGAAGAGAAATGTGTTTATTCTGAAACATTCCCCACAATTAATCTCTGTTTTAAACGCAAACTCCGGATGCAACGAAGTCACTTATCTGTGGAGATATCACCAACAACATAAAACAGCAGGGATAGAGGCAAAAAAACCTCTCGGCTGCCGGGGTCACCTTCCGGATTCTGGGAAGACGACGCTAAAGGAAATATTCGCTTACCTGTCCCTGCTGTCCAAACCAACACTGGGAGCCTGTCCCGATCCTGTGCCCTCGGAAAAGCAATTGCACCTCACTTTGCATCTGGATCGAGCAACGGCAAGTTAAATCTAAAAATAAAGTGGTTTAGGCTTTTTGCTTGTCGGTTTATTTTTTTTAATAAATTGTAGGTTTGCTATAGAAACCCTTTAAACGCTAAGAAATCTTTGGTTATCTGCGAGCACTGGGGCAGCAGTGGAGGTGCGGGGAGCCCCGGGCCCCGAGCGCTGCGAGCCCCAGGTGCCGCTGTCCCCGCCCGGCTTAGCTCGGGGATGGCCCGTGAACTTGCAAAGGAGGGCCACGGCCACCTCTTCCCCAGCCACGCATACCGGATAGGAGGTATCTCAATTTACACCAGCTGCGACCCTGGCCCTCCGTCCGCAGAGGCAGCGAAGCGCTGGTCCTTTCTTATATTACGATAATTACTTTAGAAAGCCTGACTCACATTAAAAGTATCTCTAAAGATTTACTCGCGGTTTTGTCAATTTCGAAATCGGTTTCTCAGTTTTCCGTCTACTCTAAACTTGCTGGTTTCATTGGAAAAGAAAATTGGGGGAGGAGAGAAATTTCTATAAAGAGTTTAACATTAAATATTTTCCCAACATCACCAAATAAACAACAATCCTCCAGCTCCCTATAAACTATTTAAAGCATGTCATATCATCTCTTCTGCTCTTGCCAATGTACTTTCCTTTTAATTTATAAGCTGATTAGAGCAGGGGCCTGTCTTTTTGTGTATATTTGCAAAATGTTTGGCACCCTTTCAGTCAGTTACAGTTCACAAACACTTACATCTGCATTTAACTTCATTATTATAGGTGGTCACTTTGATTTTTTTTCCTCACTCTTGTAGAGCAACAGCCTGTGAAAGTGCTTCTTGTAAATGATCTGAGCAGTTGTTGAAGGGTTTCAGCAGAGGAAACCTCTTTGGATGGAGGGGGAAAAAAAAGAAAGCAAGAAGAAAAAGCACACTGGAAGTCTAAACTGAGATCTCAGGCTGTACAAACTGGCCCAAAAGAAAATGGGGGAAATCTCCTTAGGAGGAACATTTTTAGTTCGCTAAAAAATAAACTTTACTTATAAATGATGAAAGTTATTATCATCAGAGGATGTGCTGTACCAAACAAACCTCCATTAGGCTGGGAATGATAAAACAGGCTAGACAGCCCTTTAAAAAAAAAAAAATCATCATGTCTTTGATTCCCAAGATATCAACCATGTCTGTTTCTGCAGTGCTGTCAAGTAAATCTGAGTTATGGATGCTCTAAAAGAAGCCAGCAAGGAGAAAATTCAGCAAGTGAAAATTAAGAGCGTTATCCATACTTTACAAAAACACACTTTTTTCCCAGACTCTTAAGCTCCTTCCCTGTACTGCAACATGACAATTTCTGAGGAAAAGAACAAGACCAGTGAATGTGGTAAAGCTGTGGTCATCAGAGCATGACAGATTCTTTCTATTGAACTTTTTGCTCTTTCTGCAGTGCAGTGTCCATCATTTTCACCTCAAGAGCCTTCATGTCTGGAATGCAACCTCCTAAAATTGCCAGTGCCTCAAGGTGGGTGTCACACAGTCTGAACTCTGCTGTTGAAACCATTTTCTGGCGTGTTTATGTATCACGTCTAACCTGATCAAACAGGCAGAGGACAGTTGCTTGATTTAATACAGTATCCACACATTGCTCTTTAATGTAGGTGACCTGGGAAGTTCTGTAACAAGCAAATACATCTGTCTGAGCTAGAAGGACTGGCTAGCTAGGGAGCTCAGCCACAGCAGGAGGAAAGGAAGCCTACTGAGAGAGCTTCCTCCCTCCATACGTGCAAAAGGCAAGGCATCGATCAAACCCAACTGCCTGGTCAGGAAAAGCACAGTTGGCAATGTTGTCTTTGCATTTTTGCCAGCATGAAAGGAACACAAACTGGCATTTCCAAATCTAGCCATAGGAAAACAGAACACGTTCCTTTGAGAGTCAATCCTGTACTCACTAGCAGCATAATTAAGAAACCCGTAAAAACTGAAAAAGGACAAGGACAGAAAGAAGGCAATGGCCCCATAAAGATTGTGAGTGTGGACTCTCC